TGGGGTTGGATGGGACGGGCGAACTGGCAAAGTTGTCTGGGCTGTCAGGACTCTCCAGGCTGGACTGGTCGCCAGGGCTTCTGGGGCCCCGAGGACTGCCTGGACTCTGGGGCGTTCGGGGGCCTCCCTCGCGAGAGCTCTCCTGGGGGTCGGGGCTGGCAGGGTCATCAGGGCTGGCCGGACCCTCAGGACTGTGGGGGCGCTTCGGACTCAATTCTCGTGAATGGCTGGGACTCATCGGGTAGTCTGAGCCTTCTGGACTTGCTGGATTATCTGGACTCATGGGGCCCTTGGGGCTGGCAGGGTTCTCTGGACTCATGGGGCCTGCGGCGTTCTCAGGACTCATGGGGCCGGCAGGGTTGTCAGGGCTCATGGGGCCCTCGGGACTGGCCGAGTTGTCGGGACTGGCCGGGCCATCAGGACTCATGGGGCCCTCCTCCTCTTCCTCATCAGGGCTCATGGGCCCATCGGGGCTCGTGGGACCCCTCGGACTCCCTGGGTTGGGGGGGCTGGAGGGGTTGTCTCGGCTGAGGGAATCTCGGGAGCTGGGAGAGCCTGGGTCATGTGGGGGGGGGGACGTAGGGTCATCCCACCCCTGGCTGGGGCTCTGAGGCTCCATGCCATCCATGCTGCTCATCTCTGCAAGGAAAGTCTCATTCAGCTGTGCTTTAGGAGCATAGGACAGCCTAATGATATTCTTTGGGATGAATGAATTATACAAACAAATCTCACTCGGGGAAAAAAGTTCATTACTGCAAAATAAAATTGCATATCTGCAACATCTATTCTGATGTGAATATCTAAACTGATTTTATTCCATGAAAGATTAGCTTTAAAGGCTAACTCTTTAATTGACATGTATATATTTATTTCAGCAACAAATATAATTTCATAACATAAGTATTAAAAGGAGTTTATACTCTGTATTGTTATAAGTGTGGTAAATATATTGGCTTTCCATAAAATTTGCATAACAAATATATTTGCATTTTTATACATAGTGAAAAGTAGCCAATACTTTTTCATAAATTTCAAAACACTAATATTTTTGTTTATACACAGAATAGAACTTACAAGTACTTATTAAGAATGTACTTGAATTTATGTGCATCACAGTGGACTTCAAACAAGACTTAAAGAATCTACAAATACTTTAGCATATAACATTCATAATCCTCCTAGTCAATACAATTTTTCACCATTGGCATTTCCCTTGCAAACTGAATAAAGTGGTCTAAAACACACAGATAATACTTGCAGCAGGTGCTCTGACCTTGACCTGCAAGGAAAGAATGAACTGATATGGTTTTGCTTTCAACTGAAGCAGGAACACCTTGGTTTATGCCTTCAACTCGACACAGACAAAGGCCAATCAAAACTAGCCTTAGACCAAAAAAGGTTGTCAGAAACTTGATTTCATTTTTCAGGTGGATGTATCATCAAGTGCAATCATAAACAGAGCGGAAAGAATGAACCCTGTTGCTCTTTGGTGGTGTCTCACTAGACTCTAAATAAGTGACAAGAGCAAAAATAAAATGTGTGCGTGTATGTATGTATGTATGTATGTATGTATGTATGTATGTATATATATGTATGTATGTATGTATGTATGTATGTATATATAATATAATATAATATAATATAATATATATATAAATATAAATATAAATATAAATATAAATATAAATATAAATATAAATATAAATATAAATATAAATATAAATATAAATAAATATAAATATAAATATAAATATAAATATAAATATAAATATAAATATATGTAGAAATAGCTTACCAACTGCTCTTACATATTGAGTGGACTCTCTGACTAGCGATCATGCACTCTGGGGTTTACATCCAGGTGTCATTTGAGTGACATTACTTTATCTTGTCAAGAAAGTTGGTCTGTCTTAGTTGACTTTCCCTCTTCTATTATCCACATGTGACAAACAAATAGTATTTCCCCAACTTTATCAGCTGTCTCTTATAGTTTTCCCATTTATCTTTATAACTTTGGTTCTTGATCCTACATCTCTCCCCTCACCTCCAAGTTTCCTCCCTCCCTCCCCCTTCACCCTTCCTCTTCCTTTCCCCCTTGGGAGGTCAGTGAAGAGAGGATAGGTGGGGAAAGCAGAGGTACGGGCTGCGTCAAAGCATGGACAAGACAAGGGATGTGTATAACTGAAAGAGGGACATTAGATAGGGAACATAGGGGTGGATCAGAATGTGACATCAGATAGGAGTGTGTCAGATGGCCAATATGTAAATGGGTGAGAGCTGTCTCCCAATGTTTGTTCTGATGAAATGGAACTGACCAGGAGATTGATAGTTTTACAGTATGCGATTTATTAGTAAAGAGACTTGACCAGAAAGACTGCCATCGGTTACACAAGGTCTTAAAATGGGGGTAATAATACATGAGACACAGGGCTGGTGTGATGTAGACATAGAAGCATAGTGTCCTACAGTATCTGCCTGTTCATTGCCGGGGATTCCAACA